AAAATAATAAATGAATATTTAATATTTAAGGCTTAATTTATTAATAATTTAAGTTATATGATCTAATATAATAATTGAAATAGAGGCAAGATGGAAGGCAGAGTTTTAACTCATACTTGCACCTGTAACTTATGCAAAAGAGATTCAGTGCATGTTTGGTGCAGTTTGTTAGAATTTTTGTTTTTTTTGTACTATTCATGAGTGATAAGTTTAAATTAAAATTTAAAAATTATTTTTATAAATAGAAAAAAGTGAGTAAAAATTGAATAAAAAAGAAGTTTATGAAAAATTTGAATTTGAAACTTTTGATTTTTTACTGTTTAACGTTTTTTTAAAGTTAAAAACATATTTAAAAATGTAAATTTTTTAAAATAAATTTAAACTTATAAAATATAAATAATATTAAAAAACTGAAACACTTAAAAAGCTGCACTCAATGGACTCTTAGATTTTGCTTGTTTGTTCAACAGTGTTTCTATGTTTTTTAAACCCGTGTTTGAAGGCCCAAAAAAAGAAAAGGGGGGGAAGCATGTTTGATCTTTAGGTAGAAGCTCCCATGAGTAAAATATGTGTAACTATGTTGTGAGGTAAATAGTCCTTGTAATTTAAAGTATTAAATTTGATTCATATAAAATATATTTATTTTATTTTTTACTTCTGTAAAATCTATTTGCTACTTTTTAGAACTATTGCTCTTGTAGCATTATCGAACCCCTCTCTTTGATTTTTATTGAAATGTCGCATAGTAAGAGACACACTTTCATCCTATTTATGTCACTACTTAATCTTTATCTTCATCTATCTTCTCGTGAACTATTTATTAAAAGAATTTTTTTAATTTGTGTTTTAAAGAAACTTTTCATAATAAATTTATCTAAAAATATAAAAATAAATATTAATTTTAATAATATTAATATATAAATAAATTTAATTAAATAATTAATATATTAAATATTTTTTTATTTTTTAAAAAACTCTTAATATAGACAAATTAAAAAAACCCTTACTAAAATTTGAATTGTTTTAGTCCGACGCCTCATTAAACATTATTTTTGTGACCCGTTGGACCTCTTGCATCCTATTTTGCTTTCATTAAGAATGGCACAAGTGGTGATGGTAGTAATTATTCAGCTTTAGCATTCCCTTGTTGGGGCTCATTGGTGGCCACTGCAGTCCAATAGAACTGCCGGTGAATTGCACCCTTAATCAGTGGTCGAACTTTATCAAGAATAAGGTATTAACCTAATTTTTAATTTTTAACTTCTACCTATTATTCATGTTAAAAAATATATATATATTCAGCTTTCACACCTTTTCTTACGTACTTTCCATTTATTTTTATTTTATTATTAAATTATTACATTCTTTCACATAAACATCATCTTTATACCTTTTAAAGAAATTGACTAGCAATTTCATTAAAAATATACAATTCATACATTATCTATTCTCCTCTTGTTGCCCTCTTGCTTATTCCTAATTTTGCGCTCTTTACAGCAACATATTTGCTTAAAGTAACACAACAACCAATAAGTGGTCACATACCTTTAGCTTTTGGGTACTTTAGTGGAGCAACTTGCTTTAAGTAACGCAACAACCAATGAATAGTTGCATGCTTTTTACTCTTAGGAACCTTAGTGGAGTAACCTACTTGCTGAAAAGAGACGCAACAACCAATAAATGGTCACAGGCCTTTTCATTTTAAGAATCTTAGTGGTGTGCGTTTAATATCTACTAAGTGTTCTATGTTGAGGAATTACATAAATCTGAATATTTAACTAAAAATTCTCTCATTTGCATTCCGAATTCAAATGAGAAAGAAAAGGCAGTGGCTTGAAAAATCATATTTTCTGAAAATTCTCGAGATGTATTTGTTAATGGAATTTTAAGACTATATATTAAGGATATATTTATTACATATTTTTATTATTAATTTATATTAAAAAATAAAAATTAATTTTAATTTTATTATTTATTTAAATAAAATATTATACATAATACAATGTTGAAAAAAATATTTTTATAATTTTTATAAAAATTATTAATAAACAACATAATAAATATAATAAACACATCATATTATAGTATAAGTTAAAAAAATCTTTGCTAATAATACTGGTGGTTTTTTTTTTTTTTTTTGTAGGAATTTAGAGTTGCACAATTGAAGGAGCAATATATAGTGACCTACTAAAAGCACAATCATTGAGTATTAAAATACCATATTTACCCCTTTACAATTCATTCTCATTAAAGCCAAACCCCTGTGTCTTTGCACAGGTTTTGCACAGGTTAGAGTCAGATGGGTAATGATGGAACAAAAGCATTAGGTTAAATGCTAAATTTGGTCCCTCAACTTTAGTGAGTTGTATATTTTTGATTCCTCATTAATTTTTTTGCACTTTTTTGATTCCTCAACTCTAAGAAATGCACTCCGTTAGTCCTTCTGTCAATTTAAACCGTTAACTACGACACGTGGCATTTTTTATAATTTTTTTGATGATATGGCAAAAACAATTTAAAAAAGCGCTGATTTGGAATTTTTTTTTAGGGCACGTCATCGCCAACTCATCCAACTCATCGTCAACTCATAAACCGATTTTACCTTAATAAAAAAATAAAAAATTACAAATTTACCCATCTCCCTTTCTTAATCCATCTTCTTCCCCTCTTTCGATCATCTTCTTCCTTTCTTTTTTTTCTTTTTCTTTCTTCCTCTTCTTTTTTCATCGTCTTCCTCTGTGTCTACTGGGTTCCACCGGAACCCAGCAGATCTGGGTTCGGTGAACCCAGCTCCACTTTTTTGTTTTTTGTTTTTTTGTTATATGTTTGAGATTATCCAAGTTGCAGGGTTTAAAATGAAAAGAACAGAAGCAGTTGGGCAAAGAAGCAATTAGTAGGTTTCCATTTGTTTGGCTGGAAAATGGTATGGTTTGGGTGTTTGGATGCTGAGAAAATGCTTTGAATTTGTTTGGTTGGCGAGATTGGTTACTGAGAAATTATAATGTCCATTAAAGAAAGAAAATTCGGTGAAAAAATTGTGATTTAATTATAAATTAATTTAGAATCTTAATTTTAATTAATATAAATAATTATAGTTGAATGAAGATTAATTAATAAAATTTGATTTAATATTATTTTTTATTCAGATAAATATTTAATTTAATTTGTTATATTATAAAAAAATATAAAAAATATCACTTAATTTTTTATGTCATCAAAAGATATTTTTTTTATTAGTGATGTGAGACCCATTTGAATAAATTTGGTGCCGTGTCAACCAAAGACAAATTTCTTTATTAGTGATGTGGGACCCATTTGAATAGATTTGGCACATAGTAACATGACATGTCAAAATATTTGTCCATGTCATCACTTTTCTAAATTTTGCTTTCCACATCATCAAAAGAAATATAAAAAATGCCACATAAGCGAAGTTAATGGCTCAAATTAACAGAAGGATTAACGAAGTGCATTTCTTATAGTTGAGGGATCAAAAATGTGCATTTTTTAAAGTTGAGAAACCAAATTTAACATTTAACCAAAGCATTATTGTTCTCCAGAAATAAAAAATGAATGCGACGACAAAATAAAAATACTCATATTTAATAAATATGACAGCTAAATAAAATTGAGGGAGTACCTATATATACAATATGAAAGGAAATGGTAATTTTATGCTTAAAATCAATTAAAAAGGAGGTAAGTTTTGACCAGTTTAATTTTGAAGATATAAACAAAATAGAAATATCAGTTGAAATTGAAATTAATATTGACTGGTTACTAGTTACCTGCGTGAAAAAGTTTGTTAAATGTTGGACATAATCCTGAGCTTAGGTACTCGTGCATAGAAGTGCAATGCTACGTTAAGACTAGTTTGAAATGTTATAATGAATACAATACTGGAGTGATTTATGCATGCAAGAAACGTAATTGATCGTACCTGGCCCTTCGAGCCAACTGGTACCTAATCAGTTTGAAGTGCATTCCCTTCTCATCGAAGCCCGCCCTTGACAACGTGTTCAAAAAAAAAAGAAACGTAATTGATCTACACGCATGTGATATTTGCTATTGCTGCAGTTTGAAGAACTGGGATTTGGGACCTGAACACATGTTCCTAAACCGTTAAGTACATACGAAAATGCCACCAAGTGTGGAATTTGCGCTTTAACAACGTAGTTACAACCGCCCCCACAAGCCACAATCAAACTATTAACATTTTGAACAGAAGAAGACATTACTAAAAGCTGATTGTGTTCTGCCATATCCCAAGTGCAAAATCATCGGAAATTCACAAACAATAGAACTAGAGTACCATTTGATTGTGAAGTTAAGATGAATAGCTCCTTTCTAAATGGAAGATTCAAATACTCTTTTTCACATAATAAAACAAAATATGCATCAATAAAAATAAAATGAAATAATCTAATGGCTTGTAAAATTAATTACTTGATAATATATCATGCAACACATGATTTTAGAAAAGAAAATGATGTGTGCACACCCGGATTCAACACCCAGGTGTGCACACTCCATATAGAAAAAAAAATGTTCATCACCCGGTCCATTTTTTTTTTTTTATGTGGGGGGTGCACACCCGGGTGTTGGATCCGGGTGTGCACCAATCATGGTCCTTTTGGAAATTGAAATAAATCAATTATAGCATTGAAAGATTCAATGCAGGAACTTGGTAGCATGCGTGAATAAAGCTGATTATTGTGAGTGCACCGTTAAAACCTACAAGCTACGTATGTACCTTTGTATAAATGGAAACGTGCATGGGACAAGTGTAGATAATGGGAGCAGAAGGCCCTCCCACCTCACTGTCATATGTTTCAGAATTACAACCAATGCTTTCTCCAAAATCTTAGGCATTCTGTAACCATAAGAACAACATATGTTAAAAGTGCAGAGAGCAAGGACAAGCCTACATGGATAAAAAAGGGTTTTTAAAAAGAAATAGGCAAGAAAAAAAATCTCTCATACATGCTACGGTATGAGAAAGATATAATACATTTATATTAGAAAGATTTCCGAGATCATGACTAACATGATAGTTATGTGTGAACACAAGATCCTATTCAAGATAGAAATGTCAGTTTCAGAACTATTAATTATATGCAAAGAAAAATCTATTTGTCATCTACAAAACCATATATATGCAAGAATACAAGAACACAACTCCTCGCAGCGTGGTTTAAATGGCGAATGGGAATGGATTGCATTTTTCCACCAATGTCGCTAGGTCATTGGAGAAATGGGACTCGCAATTGCAGTCCAATAAGATTTGTGATGAATAGCGGTGGGAGAAGATGAGGTAAAAGAACTGCCTCGATCATCGACCTCCTCTTCTGTGCCTCCATCATCTCTTCTTCTATGTAGCCCTCTCAACTGGCCTCCTCTTTCTTTTCTCCCCATGGTCCTCCTTTGCTCCTTCTCCATCGATTTCCATAAGCTTGCTTTTTCTTGTCCCCTGAGCGCGGCTGGCCATGTAAATCACTGAATAATGCAACGACAGTGCGCTTTGAAAATTTGCACTGAATATGGATGAATAGAGTAGGAACAGTATCGGTGCTTTAAAAAACGTCGGTTCAAACAGCAACCAATCTAAGGGGCAAATTTCGGAAATGCAGAGCGAGTTTTTTTCCTTAAAATGATTGAAATTTATTATAAAATAAGAAGAAAAATGGCAAGATGACAAATGAAAAGGAAGGGAGTTTCTTATTTTATCAAGTATTCTTCCATCTACAAACATACAAATTTGTAGGCCTATATATATAGGCTAAGGGACATAGGGGGTTACATTTGCCATTGAATAGGACTAAATGAGAGTATGAATGGCACCTTAATGGCCCCTTTGAATGGCCTATGGAATGGCCCTTTGAATGGCCCTTTGAATGGCCTTTAGTAGGTGGTCAAGAATGACCCTTTAATGGTTAGGAATGAACCCTTAATTGTGAGGAGTTGCAATATGAAAAGATGAATGTGAAGGTGAAGCATCTACTAATAATAAAAATTCACAATACTCCCCCTTGGATGCTCACCTTTTGTATTTTATACGCTTTTAAACTACCTCATTAAAAAAACCTTGTCAGGAAAAACCCAATGGGATAAAAACTATAACGAAGGGAAAAAGAGTGTAGTACGTATAAAAACTCCCCCTCATTTCAACGAAACTCTTTAAGACGTCGCATGCCTATCTTGTGTACAAGTTGTTCAAAAACTTTGGTAGGCAATGACTTGGTGAAGAGATCTGCAAGATTCTCATTTGAACTGATTTGCTGAACATCTATTTCACCAGCATTTTCAAGTTCATGTGTAGAGAAAAACTTTGGAGAAATATGCTTGGTTCTATTTCCTTTGATAAATCCTCCCTTTATTTGTGCAATACATGCAGTATTGTTCTCATACAATAAGGTCGAATTTCCTGTAATTGCTTTAAGACCACATGTTACTTGAACATGCTGGATCAAAGATCTTAACCATACACATTCTCGACTAGCCTCATATAGGGCAATTAATTCTGATTGATTTGAGGATGTGGCAACAATGGTCTGTTTGGTTGAACACCAAGAAATTGTGGTACCACCATATGTGAATAAATATCCAGTTTGTGATCTCCCTTTATTTGGATCAGACAAATATCCAGCGTCTGCATATCCAACTAACTCTAGTTTTGAGTGCTTTGAGTAAAATAATCCCATATCTTTTGTTCCTTGAAGATAACGGAATAAATGTTTAATGCCATTCCAATGTCTTCGTGTTGGTGCAGAACTATATCTTGCTAACAAATTTACAGAAAACGCGATATTAGGTCGCGTATTGTTAGCTAAATACATCAATACACCTACAGCACTTAAATATGGTACCTCAGGACCAAGAATTTCTTCATTATCTTCACGAGGTCGAAAAGGATCTTTCTTTACATCAAGGGATCGAACAACCATTGGAGAGCTTAAAGGATGAGATTTGTCCATATTAAATCTCTTCAATATCTTTTCAACATAATTGAGTTGATGGACAAAAATTCCATTTGATAAGTACTCGATCTGTAGACTGAGACAAAATTTTGTTATCCCGAGATCTTTCATCTCGAATTCTTTCTTTAAACATTCAATTGCCTTTTCGAGCTCTCCAGATGTCCCAATGATATTTATATCATCAACATATACAGCAATGATAGCAAAACCAGATTTTGACCTCTTGGTAAAGACACATGGACTAATGGGATTATTTTCCTATCCTTCTTTTAGGAGATATTCACTTAGGCAATTGTACCACATTCGCCCTGATTGTTTCAAGCCATATAGAGATCGTTTTAATTTTATTGAAAATATCTCTCTTGGCATTGAGTTGTAAGCTTCATGCATTTTAAGTCCAATAGGGACTTTCATATAAATGTCACTATCAAGTGATCCGTATAAGTAAGCAGTTACAACATCCATCAGGCGCATTTGAAGGCCTTCAGAAACTGCTAAAGTTATTAGAAACCTGAATGTAATTGCATCCATCACAGGAGAATCTATTTCCACATAATCAACGCCAGGTATTTGTGTAAAGCCTCGAGCTACCAGTCTGGCTTTGTATCTCACAACCTCATTTTTCTCATTTCGTTTTCTCACAAACACCCATTTATAACCAACAGGCTTTACATCATTGGGTGTTTGGACAATTGGTCCGAAAACTTGGCGTTTTTCTAATGATTTCAATTCTGCCTGAATTGCATCTTTCCATTTTGGCCAATCACTTCTTTGTTGGCATTCTTCAATGGATTTCGGTTCAAGATCCTCATTTTCATTGACTATATAATTTGCTATAGCAAATGCAAAAACATCGTTAATGACAACATCATTTCGATTCCACTTTATCCCAGTGGAACTATAATTTATTGAGATCTCATCATTATTTGCAATATCTGCACCTTCATTATTTTCAACAACTTGAACCTTTTTTGGGATTATTTCTTTAGATGCATTTTCTAGCTGTTGTTTAGAGAACTTTTGAGTCTTTACAATTTCAATGGAGCCAGCATTCTGCTTTCTCTTCATTCTTGGATTTTTATCTTTGGAACCAACAAGTCTACCACGCTTTTGGCGTATAGTAGATTCATTTGCTATTGTTTTAGCACCTTTTTGAACAGGAATATCAATTCGAGCAGGAACATTCAAAACTGGGATGTGTGAACTAGTTACCTTCTTTGCATCAGTGAATGCATCGGGCAATTGATTTGCAATCTTTTGCAAATGAATAATTCTCTAAACTTCTAGTTCACTTTGACCTGTTCAAGGGTCTAAATGAGATATAGATAATGCATCCCAAGTTAATTCCTGTTTCTTTAACTTTTGTTCCTCTCCCCTTAATGCTGGGAACAAATTTTCATCAAAATGACAATCAGCAAATCTTGTTGTGAAGAGATCACCAGTCATTGGTTCAAGATATTTAATTATAGATGGTAATTCCAAACCAACATAAATTCCGAGCCTTCTTTAGGGACCCAGTTTAGTGCGCTGTGTAGGAGCAATAGGAACATATACAGCACAGCCAAAAATCTTTAAATGGGATATATTTGGTTCAATCCTATAAACAAGTTGTAATGGTGAATGCTTATGATAAGCAGTTGGCCTTAATTGAATCAACGCTACAGCATGCAATATAGCATGGCCCCAAGCAGAAGCGGGTAACTTTGATCTCATAAGCAGCGGTCTTGCAATTAATTGCAGACGCTTAATAAGGGATTCAACCAGACCATTTTGTGTATGCATGTGAGGAACTGGATGCTCAATAGTAATCCCAATTGACATACAATAATCATTAAATGATTGGGATGAAAATTCTCCTGCATTATCAAGTCGGATCCTTTTTATTGTATAATCAAGAAATTATGCTCTCAATTTTATTATTTGTGCAAGTAACCTTGCAAACGCAACATTGCGTGTAGACATTAGGCAAACATCTGACCATCTTGTTGAAACATCTATCAACACCATAAAATATCAAAATGGTCCAGATGGGGGATTTATAGGTCCACAAATATCTCCTTGAATTCGTTCCAACAATGGAGGAGATTCATTTTCTATTTTAGTTGTAGAAGGCCTGATAATCAATTTACCAAGGGAGCAAGCAACACACGAAAAATCACTTGATAATAGGACTCTCAAGTTCTTCAATGGGTGTCCATGTGAACTCCCTATAATTCTCCGCATCATAATAGCACCTGGATGACCAAGTTGATTATGCCAAAGGATAAATGCATCTGGATTGACGATTTTCTTATTAGTTACAGCATTGGATTCTATTGGATGTATATATGTATAATACAATCCAAAACAGAATGTTAACATTTTCTCCAATATTTTCTTTTTTCCAAATGCAAAAGTTGTGATATGGAGGAATTCTATTCCATTCTCATCCATGGTTTCAATATGGAAGCCATTACGACGTATATCTTTAAAACTTAGTAGATTTCGATTTGATCTACTAAAATATAGAGCATCATGTATTAATAATTTTGTTCCTCTAGGCAATAAAATGCAAGCTTTTCTAGAGCCTTTAATCAACTTTGCCATACCAGATATTGTATGAACATTGGCCTCGGCTAACTTTAATTGAGAAAAATAATTCTTATTTCTCAAGATGGTATGCGCTGTGCCACTGTCAACAAGACATAGGTCTCCATCTTTGATCTTAGCATCATCCAAGTCCATTTAGTCTTAAATAAAGACAAATGAAACAGAAGAGACAAATAATCAATATATATTTTGAAATGATTATTCTTTTATTGCATATAAAAAGAACATTACATATAGAAAAAGGGAAATAGCCACAAAAGGCAAATTATTTAAGAGGACATAATAAGTCAAGCTCTTGGTTGGGTATCATCAACACCATTAAGCTTTTCAACAGCCTCGAAAAAATCAGCAACATCAAGGTGTGTATCAAGATCCACATTATTTTGCTCAATGAAATTCATTTCTGGATCTTTTCCTTTTCCCTTTTCATTAAGTGAGGCTTGGTAAAGATCAACCAAATGCCTAGCAGTGCGACAAGCACGCTCCCAATGTCCTTTTGTTCCACATCGATAACAAAAACTTTCAGAAACTTTCGCAGGGTTCTTTTGTAAATTTCTACCCCTTACATTCTTTGGTTCAACAGATTCATATTTGGGGTTGAAACCTCTACGATGCCAAGTATTATTTCGACCACGGGCATACCCTCGCCCATGGTTATTGCCACGATTACGACCATGACGACGGCCTCGACCACACCCATAATTATTATATGAGGTTGCATTTGCCTCAGGTAATGAGGCTGAACCAATAGGCCGTGACTGATGATTTTTCATCAAAAGTTCATTATTTTGTTCAGCAACAAGAAGACATGATATCAAATTTGAATATTTTTTAAAGCCACACTCTCGATATTGTTGCTGAGGAAGCAAATTTGAGGCATGAAAAGTGGAGAATGTTTTCTCCAACATATCTTCATCAGTAATTTTTTCACCACATAATTTTAATTGAGATGAAATGCAGAATACTACGGAGTTATACTCACTCACTGATTTAAAATCTTGCAATCGTAGATGCATCCATTCATAACGAGCTTTTGGCAGTATCACTGATTTTTGGTGATCATATCTTTCTTTCAAATTTTGCCATAATTCAAATGGATCTTTGATTGTCAAATATTCAGTCTTCAATCCCTCATGGAGATGATGGCGAAGGAATATCAATGCTTTAGCGCGATCTTGTAAGGAGGTTTGATTTCCCTCAACAATTGTTTCACCAAGATTATTTGCAGCCAAATGGATTTCAGCATCAAGTATCCATGGCAAATAATTTGAGCCCGTTATATCAAGGGCGGCAAATTTAAGTTTTGTCAAGTTTGACATTGTGGCTACAAAAATTTGTTAGACTAAAATCAAATTTAAATTAGGAAAACAAATGATTACCTTAAGAGCTTGCCACAAATTGAATGGTGGAGACAATCGTGCTGATAACGTATTATAAAATAAGAAGAAAAATGGCAAGATGACAAATGAAAAGGAAGGGAGTTTCTTATTTTATCAAGTATTCTTCCATCTATAAACATACAAATTTGTAGGCCTATATATATAGGCTAAGGGACATAGGGGGTTACATTTGCCATTGAATAAGACTAAATGAGAGTGTGAATGGCACCTTAATGGCCCCTTTGAATGGCTTATTGAATGGCCCTTTGAATGGCCTTTAATAGGTGGTCAAGAATGACCCTTTAATGGTGAGGAATGAACCCTTAATTGTGAGGAGTTGCAATATTAAAAGATGAATGTGAAGGTGAAGCATCCACTAATAATAAAAATTCACAATAAAATTAATTTTTTTAACATCTTTTACTACAATCTTATTATTATTATTAAAATAATTATTTATTTATTTATTTAAAATTTATAATATTAAATATATTTATCTATTTAATAATATAAAAAAATTA